GCTGTCTCGGCGTGTGCTCTGGAGCGGCCGGGGGGCTTCGCTGCCTGGAGGAGCTGGCGTCCTGCTACAGGCGGATGTTGGACAAACATGGTGGAACATGTTCAGAAATGCTCGAAACAAGAATCTGCATCTCACCCAGGCTATTTGTCTGCTCTTCTCCAATACGCCTCCTGTAGAGGGACGTGCCCGACTGAATCTTAGTGGTGACGCCCCTTGGCACCGCCTGGAGGGATGCGGCTGAGGTGACGAACATCCCTGAGGGAGGGTCAGAGGCCTTCTAGATGGGGTCGGAGTAGATGGGGTCGGAGGATCGCAACGCATTGCCGATACATCGGCGATGCATCGGCGATGCATCGGCGATGCATCGTCGATGCATCGTCGACGTCGACGTGAAGCAACTCGGGCTGCACATCGAGCCGCATCGGCGATGCATCGGCGATGCGGCGCGATCCTCCGACCCTATCTACCCCGACCCCACCTAGGAAGCCTAGAATGGTGGTGCTGCCGACGGTGGCGATGCCCGGCAGGGTGAGGCGACGACGGCTGCGGCGGCGATGACGACGACTAAGACGCCGACGAGCAGGCATCGTCTTCGCCGAAGGACTTGCCTGTTGTCCCCCTCCTTTTTCCAGCCTCGGTGGGCAAGAGCGGGCCGGGCCCCTGATTCTCCGATCGTTTTTTTGTTGGAAGAGATTGTGGCCGCTACCTCACCCCGCGGAAGATGGCGCGCTCTGCGAGCAAAAACTTGGTCACGGAACGTGCATCCTGACCTCCCCGCGCCCTGGCACGGGAGTTCAGCAGGACCCTGAGACGGTGATGAAGTTGGGCCGTGGCGGAGTGCGGTCGGTCCACTGCCGAGCCTGCAGATTCCACAGCGGCCCTTTACCGGTGCTCGACTCCTGCCTCCCAGCGCAAAGTTGACAAAGGCCGCGCTAACGGCAATGTTGGTTAACGGCGATGTTGGGAATCTGATTTCTGTGACACCGAGCTCGCGCAGAACAAATCAGAGGAAATCACGAACCACATTTTCCTACGATTCCAATGTGCTGCGAATGTATCGAGCGAGAGCGACGCCGCGAAGTGCAGGAGAGCACGAACCTCGATGCCCTGCAGTTGGTTTGGCCACGAACCAGTCCCACCTACCATGCCGAAGCGTACATCGCCGCTGCCTACATTGCCGTTAGCGCGTCTACGGGGCGAGCGACGAAAAGCAATGGGGTCTTCCGCGAGATGCTGACATAACTGAAGAAGCCCCGAAACTAAGTATACACAAGTAACAGGGACCCCCCTACTGCCCCATGTTTTCTGTGCTTTTGCCGTCCCCCCCCACCGCCCATATCTTCCCATACTTTACGGGGGATCGACGATTCATTGTGTCTGTGTTTCTTCCCCTCTTGAGTCTTTGCTCTGGTTCGCGAGCGCAGACGGAAGGGCCGCGCGCCGACCAAAGCTACAGCTAACAAGCAGGAGCCTAAATTGCCCACGGGAGAAAGGAAAAGAGAGCCTCTTGAGTCTTACTTGACGGCGCGCACAGAGGGGGTAATTAGGGGGGGGAAGCTTCTTAGAAGGAGGCTGCCTCTTAGAAGGCGCGGGCCTTACATCTACAGAGAAGGCCCGCGCCTTCTAAGAAGCAAGGGTGCTTCTAAGAAGCCTTCCCCCCTCCCCCTACCCTCGCCCGCGCGTGGCCGACTTGCGCGAGAGGATGACATGGCGACTTGACGCCACGGCTTACGCGGGCCGCCCGCCGGGCACCGCTGCATCGGGAAAACGCGCGTGCCCACGCGCGGCCTCATGAGCGGGCAGCTATTCTGCGCCGGCGCCAGCGACGACGACGACGACGACGACGACGATTTCGACGACCACGACTACGCCGACGACGACGACGACGACGATTTCGACGACGATTTCGACGACCACGACGACGACAACGACGACGACGACGACGACGACGTCCTTCCGTCGCGCCGGTGGGACATGATGGGCCTGTTTTCCACTACCACCACCTTAAGTTGGCTGGGGGAAGGAGGAGGACATAGAGGAGGACGAAGAGGGGGAGGAGGAGGAGGAGGAGGAGGAGGAGGAGGAGGAGGAGGAGGAGGAGGACCCCCTTCCCCTTCAACTTATGGTGGTGGTGTTGGAAAGCAGGCCCATCAGGGAAGGTAACTCATCGCAACCACGCCGACGCCAAGGAAGCGACTGGCACAGAAGACTGGGCTCGCTCGGGCGGGCGCTGCCCGGGGGGGCAGTGCCAGAGGAGAGGGGGGGGGGGCGATCGAGGGCTGCAGGGAAGTGGCCCTCGACGAGGCCCCCAGACTGCCACGCCGCGCCTCAAGGGAGGTGGGAGGAGCGTGCCTCCCTCCCCTCGCGTGCACTTCTCCCCCAAGGCGACGCCAAGACGAGGATACATCTGGCCGAAGATAAATCGGAAACCTCCGAGACCCAGCGACTCCGGAGGATGTGTCGGGCACTGCGGCCGTCCCAGAGCCTTCTGGAACGCTCCTGGAGCGTTCCGGAGAGCTCTGGACTGGAGTTATCCTCGTGTTAGCCCCGCCCGACCCCCGCTGCCGCACATTCGAACAACCTTCTCGTCGAAACCGGGCCAACGTGCTGGCCAACCTTGCACGGAATTGTAGTCCGAGGGGGGAAGTGAGGAGGGGAAGGCCTGGTCAGAACGCTCGGAAGTTCCTGGGCCTTCTGAGAAGTTTTCTAAGCCTTCCCCGAAGGCGCAAAAAACCTCTCAGAAGGCGCGAGGACTTCTGAGAAGTCCCGCCGCCTGAGAAGGCCTTCTCCTTCTCGTTTCCTCCCCTCGCTCGCCGCCGACCAAGGGTTCCGCAGGTTTTCGCGCCATCCTGGGGCTTCTGGGGCCCGCTGGGCGTCGTGCGGGGTGCTTTGGAAGCCATCTGCACCTCCTTGAGAAAGCGGGGGCCCTTCTCGGGCCAGGGCCACGTCTGGCAGCACCCGAGCAGAGGCAGGGAACCAAAAACTCTGTACATCGACGCTGTTCTAGTCCTGCACCGAAATTTCTGCAAACAGGAAAGCGGATCCTCCTCCTTCTCCTCCTCCTCCTCCTCCTCCTCCTCCTCCTCCTCCTCCAGGGGAAGCGGATCCTGGTGTATACGGTATCCTGGTCTACACATGTGCTGTCGTTCCCCAAGGAAAAAGATCAACAACGGATTCACCGCACCACCCGGACGGCGTCCCCGACCCTCAACACGTCCTGGCATTGACAACAGCCCGCCACTGGTAATGTACATGCTGCAGCTTCTGCGGCCGAGGGAGCGGCGGGCCGCCCCTGTCGGGCACTCCTGCGCAGCGCGTCGCGTCTCGGCGGCCCTGGCGACGCGCTGTGCCATGCGCGAGCGGATGGCGTGTCGCTCCGCTCCGCGGGGCGGGAGGCCTGGGGAAAGCTCGGGACGTTGGCGCCGGGGGACCGGGAAGCGGCGGACAGCGTCTCGCGCGGAAGCGTGGTGCGCCAGAGCTGGCGGCGAGGCACGCTAGCCGGAGCTCCTGGCCGTAATGGGGGCGCGCCTCGGAGATCCCCGGGAGGACGAGACGGCGGAGGGGGAAGAGGAGGAGGAGACCAGGCGCGGCTGCCCCCCTATGCAGTCAAGACGTGTATCAAGGACGGGTGGCAGGGACGCACAACCCTTGGAGGCCGAAGCTGGGATATCTCGGGCGTCGGGCGACCAGGAAAACCGGCAAAGAACAGGCCGCAGAGGCGAGGGCACAAGGGCACCCTGAGTAAAGGCGCGCGTGCCTACTAGGCGCGTTGACTGTGAGACCCGCTGGGATCTCGAACCACCAGGAACCAGGAGGAGGAGGAGGAGGAGGAGGGGGAGGAGGAGGAGGAGGAGGAGGAGGAGGAGGAGGAGGAGGAGGAGGAGGAGGAGGAGGAGGAGGAGGAGGAGAGAGAGAGAGGAGGAGGAGAGAGAGAGAGGAGACTGTGCGCGGCTGACCCCGTTTAGGGCACTGGCCTCCATGCTCGCCCACTTCTCGCCCGACTGACCTACGCTCTTGCCCACTCCGGCGGCGGAGGGCCAGCATGCCGCTGCGAGGCACCCTGATGGGATCACCCCCCCAGGGCCGACCAGCCCTGGGGGGGGGGGGCAGCATCTGTCGGACTCTCATGCCTTCAGGAATCAGGAGCCAGGAGGAGGATGAGGAGGAGGAGGAGGAGGAGGAGGAGGAGGAGGAGGAGGAGGAGGAGGAGGAGGAGGGGGGAAGGAGGAGGGGTACGAGGACAAGCTAGGTGCGATCGCGTCATATTTGATGTCCTACCCCTCCCTCCCATCCCTTACCATGGCGCAGATATCCCCTCTATTCGCACAGTCGGATGCCGCAGCATGGCGTAGCATGGCGTTGAGAATCAACGAATCGACGCCGAATGTGTAATCACTGCCGATGGTTTTACGGGGGGAATTTGCTAGATTTTGGAGCATACTTGGAAGGACAGAAAACCATGCCGTGGCATGGCACTGGAAATAATGGCGCCAACGCTGCAGCGGGAGCACGATTCGGAACGAGCGAAAGCGCCGAAATGAGTCCAACGCAGCAGCGGGGACACGATTCGGAACGAGATGAAGCGCGGAAATGAGGCCAGCGCAGAAACGGGAGCACGATTCGGAACGAGCGGAAGCCCGAAAATGAGGCCAGCGCCTCAGCGGGAGCAACATTTCAAAAACAACAACCCAAGCGAAAACAAAATTATGCATGAATCCTGTGTAAAAAACGCCACGCGGAGGGGGGCCGAACATCTTCCAGACGTCATCAGGGGAGAGAGGAAAAGTACTATTCACATTCTGTACTTGGTGGAGGAGGAGGAGGAAGGGGAGGAGGTGGATGAGGAGGAGGGAATGGAGGAGGAGGAGGAGGAGGAGGAGGAGGAGGAGGAGGCGGAGGACGGGGGGGAAGAAGGAAGAGGAGGAGGAGGAGGAGGAAGAGGAGGTGGAGGGGGAGGAAGGAAGGAAAGAAGGACAGGAGGAGGAGGAGGTGGAGGATGGCGAGGAGGAGAACGGGCGCGGCCTCCGGGTTCCGGGCCTCGCGCCGCGCGGTCGCGCGAGGGGCGAAAGCGTGCGGCCATCTGCGCATATCTTCGCACCGGTCTGTCGGGTGTTTGTCGACGGGGACCTGCGCTGCGAGGGCGGCAGCGTGTACAGTGGAGGCCAGTCCACAAGAAGCCTTCCACAAGAAACCCATCCATGCGACACCAGGGCGCCCACGGATTTGTGGCGTGGGAGCGTCACGCTTCCCATAGCAAAGCCATCGAAACCCAAGACACCAAGGGCACCCTGGAGGCAAGCTGGGTGTTTCTTGGCATGGGTCTCCACTGTAGGAGCGAGGAAAGGCGACACTAACACCACCAGGGCGAGGAGGTGCGAGAAGCAGCGGGGGGGGTCTCCCCGGTGGTGCTGTCCCCCCCTCCTCGCTCGAGACATCCCCGGCCTCCGGCTCGGAGGGGCATCGTGGACCTCCTCGCTGGAGGTGGCCCCCCTCTGGTGGTGTTGGCGTCGCTTCTCCTCCCTCCGAGCGTGGCGGCCTTCCCTGGGCCGCCGGCGCGCCGCACCGCCCCGCCCCCGAGAAGGTGCCCCGGCCGGGGGGCTCCGCGCCGGTTGTCGGCGAGGGGTCGCCCTGCCCGCGAGAAGGTTCGTCCACGGGGGCAATCAACCAGAGGCCTCCCAGACGGGGTCGGCGTAGACGGGGTTGGCGGATCGCTCCGCGTCGTCGATGCACCACCGATCCATCGGCAATTGCCTTGGCAAACGCGACGACGCATCGGCGACGTCGGCCCACATCGAGCCGCACAAATCGCCGAAACTCCTGTTCGTCGTTGGACGGATACCCAGACCCAGGCATCAGACGGCTCGAGTTGTTCATGTCGAGGGCCCAACAGACTTCAGCCACTTCCCCAGGAATTGCCTTTCGTCCCAGATTGTGGTTGATGGCCCCCCGCGGCCGGAACGTCCCATACAAATCCCGAGCTGAGGAACACGGTCTGGCCGTTTCGCTAAATCTTCAGGGCGGGAACGGACGCGAAGGCATGCAAGAAGCCGCCCAACCGGCGATTCCCGAAACGAGGCGGTCGGTGGGTTCCTCTTCTCACCCTGTGCTTCGTTCGTGCAGGGCCTGCTCCTCCTCCTCCTCCTCCTCCTCCTCCTCCTCCTCCTCCTCCTCCTCCTCCTCCTCCTCCTCCTCCTCCTCCCTGAAAGGGCCGCGCCAAGAAGCACACAGTTCTCTAACCTCAGGGCCTGCCTCCAGTCGAGCACCCTCCCTCTGCGCCCTCCCACTGCGGTGGCCTGCTCCGCGGCAGTGATCCTCTCCCTCTGATCCTCTCCCTCTCCTGCCGCCCTGCCTCCCCCTCCCCAATTCACCACAACCATCATCATCACCATCATCAGCATCAGCTTCAGCATCATCAGCATCAGCAGCCTCATCATTCCCCATCGTCCTCATCGTCCCCATCATCATCATCATCATGTTCATCATCCTCATCATTTTTGTCATCCTCATCATTATCATCCTCCCCCTCCGTCCAGTGAAGGCTCAGTTCCCCAACGACCTCGTCGAGCGGGCCTCCCTGGTCAGCAAGAAGCTCGGATCTCCCTGCGCACTCCCAGCAGAGGTTCCCTCGTGGAGTCCCCTCGCGGCTCTCTGACTCCTGACTCCTGAGTCCTCCCTCCCCCCCACTTCCCCTGTGCCCGTGCTGCTAGACACCGCGTGTTCCTGCCAGCAGCTAGTGAGTGCCGCACCAGGCTGACCGTCTCCTCGGCGAATCAGAGCGCAATCCGAAAAATCCCACTTCCCCGACGCTCTCCAGGGCGGGGAGGCCGTGGCCGACGAGGGAGGGGAAGGACGAATAGGGGGGGGGGGAGGAGCGGCCTGCCTGGCCCTGCTCCCGTGCTCCCGTGTCCCCTGCCCCCTTCGCCCGTCCCTCCTCCCCCCCTCCCCCCGCTGTGTGAAGGGGCCCAGGGACACACAAACAAATACTCACAAATACCTATATTCCCTCTATTGTCTTATATTTCTGCATTTTTTCATATTTTCAGAGTTTTGGTCTTCCGTCTTACAGGCCATCATTTCCCTCATTTTCCTGGGAATCGACGATTCGTTGTGTCTGTGTTTTTTTCCCCTGCTGACCGTGAGCGTTTTCCTGTTCGGCGTGTCGACGTTGGGCGAAAGGGAAGGGGAGAGGGGGGGGAGGGTCTGGCTCCGGCCCTCTGCTGAATGCGACTGTTGGCAACAGTGCGCCCTGCGGGGGAATCCCCACCTGCTCGAAACAGGCGCCGGACACAGCCAGGATCTGCTCCAGGGGGGGGGGGGAAACGGGGGTGCGAGGGAGGAGGAGGAGGAGGAGGAGGAGGAGGAGGAGGAGGAGGAGAAGGAGGCGGAGGAGGAGGAGGAGGAGCAGGAGGAGGAGGAGGAAGAGGGGGTGCGAGGGAGGAGGAGGACGAAGGAGGGGGAGGACGAGGAAGAGGACGAGGAGGAGAGGGCACGCGCCGATCGGCAAAACGATGGACAAGAACACGATCACCTTGTGCCTCTGTGCCCCTGTCAGTTTTGCATCAGTTGGGCTTTAGCAGCTAAGCTGTGGCGTTCCGGTGGCAAGAGAAAACAAACAACATAACCGCCGGAATGCAGAAGAAACGGCACAGGAGGTGCGACGGAGAAACGGAGAAATGGATGGCCCGCGAGGGCAACAAAAATATCAGAACCGCAGGCGTCGGCAAGGTGCCCCTGCCCGGCTTGTTCTTCCTCCATCTGTGCTCCTTGTACGTCACTTCTCCTGCTCGCGACCCAAGGCATGTCGGTAGGGCGGACCGGGCGTTCCGCCTACGACTTCCTCTCAACTCATGATCCTGAAGCCTGATGTCTGCAACAGCGTCAGAGATGGACGGCGGGCCATCTTCAGAATGTTGCTCTCGCCTGGGCTCCGCGCGCACTAATCGTGAACGCTTGGCGGGTGGTTTTGAACATGTGGCCCTCGCCGCGCGCAATCGTCTTAGAACTCTGCAGCAGCTTCAAGGGTGGAGGACCAGTCCTTTTGGAGACGTGAACCTCGCCGTAAGGCCGCACACAGTCGACTTGACAGTTGGCACCCGCTTCAGGGATTGAGCGCGGCTCCTTTTCAACACCGTGTGGCTCTCTCCGTAGCGACGCGCAAAGGGGTAGCAGCCCACACCCACACGGACAGACCGTCAGGCGAGGCAGCATACTAAAACATACTAAAATGCGAAGGCAGTGTAATACAGTGTGTGTAATTGAGACATATGCAAATTAAAGGCCGCAGTGCACGGATGAGGAGGAGGAGCCCCGGCGCGACAGGGGGAGAGGAAGCCGGGCCACTCAGAGCTGCCGACTGGGCGCTCCCACACAGATGATCTCGACCCCCCGGGGCCTCCGACGCCCTGATCAAGACGCCTGCCTCCAGAAGGGCCGCCCGCGCGCTCGCCGCCGCCGCGGTGCGCTCAGCCGAAAAGGTCGAAGACCACGTCCTCGTCCTGCTCCTCCACGGCCGCGGCCTTCCTCTCCTCCTTCTTCTCGCCGCCGCCCGCCGCCGCCCGCCGCCGGCGCTGCAGCCACCGGGTTCGCCGCAGCGCACGCCTCGGGGTCCTCCAGGAACTTCTTGACAGGCTCCATTTCCTCCTCCCCCTCCTCCTCCTCCTCCTCAGCGGCCGGCTCCAGGGCCTTTTCCCTCTGCGGCGGCTTCTGGCGCGGCGCCTCCTCCTCCTCCTCGGCGGGCTCCTCCTTCCTGGCTGGACGGGCAGGGGGCCTCTGCGGTCTCCTCCTGGCCTGCTGCCGCCGGCCACCGGCTCGTCCTCGTCCTCGTCCTCCTCCCCCTCCTCCTCCTCCTCGACGCTCGTCGTGCGTTGCCTCCTGGCCGTCGTCCTGACAGCCTCCTTTGGGCTCCCACATCCTCCCGCGACGCGTAAATTCGGCTGACACTTTGGCGGCATAAAACACGGCTGGTGGGAGTCGCAGGGGCGATTTTCCAGGCTTGTCAGGACGCAGCAGTCACGTTGAGTCGCGGCTTTGAAATACCAGGAACGGCGTTCTGACACGATTTTGGATATCAGACGCAGCAATCACCGTTCATCCGCTGCGTTGCAGTCCCCAAAACAGCGTTTTGGCACCACTGCGGGTTATCATACGGTTGCCCTCTGACGGACCACTTCCAGCAATGAAACTGAATTCTTGTAGGGAACTGTGAAAAGGGAATTTGAAGAGAGGTTTTTTTGCAACATTGTTATTGCGTCCTGGGTTTTCACTGGTTCACCTCCTTTTCTCCTCTTAAAACCACCCCCTTCCTCGGGAGGAGAGGGGGGGAGGTGGGGGGGGGGGACGGAGCAGGGCGGGGCGGGGAAGGGAGGAAGGAGGAGGCGGAGGCGGGCGATGGGGAGGAGGCAGAGAATGGGGGACGCAACTTCGGCAACGACGCGCTGTGTCGGATTGGTCGCCCACAGGCCAGTGTTGAAGCGCGTGCGGAACTTGAGCTCGTGCGGCAACAGCCATATGTCCCTGCTCGGCTTCGAGACGACTCTGATGTTCCTCGGCAGGGAAGGTGGAAGGGGAGAAGGGCGGGTCCAGAATTGAGGTTCGAGGAGCGACTTCATCGAAAGTTGTCGTCGTTTGGGGCATCTGGCGGCCCCGTCGTCATGGCTGGGTGAACCTTGAATTTGTGGTCGAAGCGCACCACTGGAGAGGTCCGAAGGTCGGTGGCACATGGATGAGGATGAGGATGAGGAGGGGACTGAGGGGTATGGTGATAAGAGGGAGCTCGATTCAGCTCGCAGTCCACTCAAACCGACTTCCTTCCGCTGCGGAGCAGGGAGGGAACCCTGACATCCGACGTCGCGCACAAACGGCAACACCGCGTGAACCTTGTAGCCAATTATCTCCCTGTGGCATTCCCGGGAAGCCAGATCGATCTGCGAGGGCGCGGGGGGGGGCCCAGACGAAGACGCTGGGCGCGAAAAGAAAGGCGACGCCTGGATCTCAGAAAGCGGAGCACCCGGGGGGAGTGAGAAGGGGCGGGCCTTCTCAGAAGGCTCGGCAGTCCCCCAGCCTTCTGAGAAATGATCTGGAAGCCTTTCCCAAAGACACAGCGAATCCTCTCACAGGGCTGGGGGGCTTCTGCAAGTCACGCCACCTTCTGAGAAGGCCTTCTCCTTCTCACTTCCTCCCCTCGCTCGCCGCCAACTCAGGGAATGGGTCTGGATGCTAGATGGGCCAGGGTTGGGCCAGTTTGACCCAACATATCGGAAAGATTTCAGGCTGCAAACTTCTTGGGTAGAAGGGCGCAGCCATCGCAGGCCTCCCCGGCACCACCAAGGAGGCCTGCGATTGCGTTGTCCTTCTAGCGTCGCCACCGCCTCCCAGGGAGGACAGGGAACCCCTCCCCGGGCTCCAGTAAGGACTTCTCTGACATCCAGACGGTGGAAGAACGCCCAGGATTCTCCTCGACCCTTCTCCATCTCCTCCTCCTCCTCCAACTCCTCCTCCTCCTCCTCCTCCTCCTCCGCCTCCTCCTCCTCCTCCTCCTCCAACTCCTCTCCCCTGCTCCTCCTCCTCCTCCTACTCCACTTCCTCCCTTTTCCACTTCCTCCTTCCCCCTCCTCCTCCTCCTCCTCCTCCTCCTCCTCCTCCTCCTCCTGGGCCATCTTCGACCTTCAGGAGGAAGTGACGACCCTCCTTGCCGTACCCCCTCCGTGGCCTGCATGATCTGGCGACGGAAGGCATCGACAGACCCGGCAACAGGAGCAGCCTCTGCCCCGAGAGCGGGGCCGCACCAGGGCCCTTCGCCGGACCTCGGACGCTGCTCATTGACGACGGCCCCGATCTGCTGAGGAGCACCGATCACCGCGATCGCGTGGGGCCGAGGCTCCGACCGAAACACACGTACGTGCTGGCGGCGCGCAATTCACAGACCAGACAGGCCAGACCGGTCCCAACCTCAGGGGGCCTGGAAGGTTCGGCCTCCGCTGGAAACGTGTGGGGAACCAGCATCCCGAGGGGGGTCTAGACCCGCGGGGGCGGCGGGTGGGTGGGGCTCAGTCCGTCGGGTGGCCCTGGGGAAGAGGGGGTATCACACCCAGACGTGCGACGTCCTGATTTTTCAGGACGGCGTCGCTGGAAGTCCCGACCCTTTCCCCAGGACCGGTTTTTCGTCCTGAGTCGTTCTCTGGCGGTCCCGGGGCCAGGCGAGGGCCCCCGATGGTCGAACATAGCCACAAACCTCCCGTCCTGATTTTTCCCAACCATCCTGTGGTGTTGGGTCCTCGTTTTGAAGAGACGGTGCCCCGCGTTCCTCCTCCCGCTGCCCCCTCCCCCCTCCTCCCATCATCATCACCATCCTCATCATGTTCATCATCATGAGTATCGTCATCATCATCATCCACATCGTGGTTGTCGGTCATCACCATCACCATCACCATCATCATCATCAGCATCATCATCATCATCATCATCATCATCATCATCATCATCACCATCACCATCATCACCATCACCATCATCATCATCATCATCATCATCATCATCATCATCATCGGCACACCCCTCACACGTTTCGTGGCCCCATAAGGAGCTCCACCGGAGGCCCAAATGGCTGCGTCCGCATGCCGCCGCCACCCAATTTTGGCACACCCCTCACACGTTTCGTGGCCCCATAGGGAGCTCCACCGAAGGCCCAAATTGCTGCGTCCGCATGCGCCGCCGCCCAATTTTGGCACACCCCTCACACGTTTCGTGGCCCCATAGGGAGCTCCACCGAAGGCCCAAATGGCTGCGTCCGCATGCCGCCGCCACCCAATTTTGGCACACCCCTCACACGTTCGTGGCCCCATAGGGAGCTCCATCTAAGGCCCATGGCTGCGTCCGCATGCCGCCGCCACCCAATTTTGGCACACCCCTCACACGTTTCGTGGCCCCATAGGGCTCCATCTAAGGCCCAATGGCTGCGTCCGCATGCCGCCGCCACCCATTTTTGGCACACCCCTTACACGCTTCGTGGCCCCATGGGGAGCTCCACCGAAGGCCCAAATGGCTGCGTCCGCATGCCGCCGCCGCCCAATTTTGGCACACCCCTCACACGTTTCGTGCCCCCATAGGGAGCTCCATCTAAGGCCCAATGGCTGCGTCCGCATGCCGCCGCCACCCCATATTTGGCACACCCCTCACACGTTTCGTGGCCCCATAGGGAGCTCCACCGAAGGCCCAAATGGCTGCGTCCGCATGCCGCCGCCGCCCAATTTTGGCACACCCCTCACACGTTTCGTGGCCCCATAGGGAGCTCCACCGAAGGCCCAAATGGCTGCGTCCGCATGCCGCCGCCGCCCAATTTTGGCACACCCCTCACACGTTTCGTGGCCCCATAGGGAGCTCCATCTAAGGCCCAAGTGGCTGCGTCCGCATGCCGCCGCCCGCCCACTTTTGGCACACCCCTCACACGTTTCGTGGCCCCATGGGGAGCTCCACCGAAGGCCCAAATTGCTGCGTCCGCATGCCGCCGCCGCCCAATTTTGGCACACCCCTCACACGTTTCGTGGCCCCATAGGGAGCCCCACCTAAGGCCCAAATGGCTGCGTCCGCATGCCGCCGCCGCCCCATATTTGGCACACCCCTTACACGTTTCGTGCCCCCATGGGGAGCTCCACCGAAGGCCCAAATGGCTGCGGCCCAGGCGTGATCCTGGACTGCGGCCGCCACGAGGTCGGGAACGGCAAGAAGGAGGACGACGACTGGTGGCTGGAGCTCTACGTGCTGCTCTCGCGCGCCACGCGCCACGAGGATCTCCTGCTCATGCGGGCGCCGCTCATCGAGTTCTTCCTGGCAAGGCCGCCGGAGGGCTTGCGGAAGCAGCTGGAGCAGTTTGCAGCGCGCACGAAGCGGTGCAGGAGGGAGGCGACGGCCCTCGCCAGAGAGCTGGGTTTCATTGAGTTCATCCGCGAGGCCTGACCTGGGGAGCGGCCCCGCACGAGCCAGCGGCGCGCGCTGGTTGTCGCTGACGCTTGGATGACCCCAGCTCGTCGTCGGGATTTCTCGCCAGAGGATGACCGGCGCCTGTCGGGGGATTTCACCCAGATCGCGCCATTTTCGCACGCCTCGCCACGCAGTACGGGGGCGCTATCCGTTGACTCAGAGTCGCAGTGGACAACCCCCGCGCGTCGATGGGATTCCCTCGGGATGACCAGACCGCGTCGGCGAGGACTTCCCAGGCACTTTCGCGCGGCGCCGCCTGCGCGCTGCATTCTGCGTGGCTCGCTGTCGGTCTGGAGGCAAAAACGTCTCCCCTCGTCTCTCGCTCCTCCTGCTTCCCATCGCTTCTTGACCGCGCGCTTCCCCGTCGCGTTTCTGCCGCTGCTGACCTGCCTTCGACATCTACACGGTGTCTCCGTCACCTCTTCCTGCGTGCCCAGTAACAGGTCTCATGATGCGATGATGATACTGATGTGTTGGCTCGCCCCAGTGAGCTCTCCTCCTCCGCCGGCCACCTCCTGCCCGCGCTGCCCTGTGCCTCGTCCATGCAGTGGCGCGGTGCCTGTGAGAAGAGGGGCCTAGTTTGCGTGCCCCCTCCTTCGTCTCATATCCGTGCGGTACTCGCAGCTGCATATGGTTAGGTCCTTCGCCAAACTAATTTTTACGACGCGATCATGCCTGGGGGGGAAGGGGGGCATCACAGATTTTCCGAAGCCGAGACGCCGCCTGGGAATCCCAAACTGGCACATCCCTTCTCTGGGGTGGCGGGCCAGAGCCAGCCGCGCGAGAAGGAGTTCCCAGTCGAGGACACCCCACCGGAGCGCAGTGTCTCCCTCGACTGGGAGGCCCACCCCGCTCGATGGGCTCTTGCCGGCTACACCGCACGAGGGACTGGCCCCGAACGGTCAATCCCTTGAGATCCTGGCGTTGCAATTTTTTCGCACCGGCGTTTTCGCCCAATTTTGGGCCCGCCTGGACTCTGACAGATCGATCCGGCTCGAAAAATGACGCAGGAAGATGCGGTCGGGGGCTCCGGGCGGAATTCTTGCGATGGTGCAATGTTTTTGCCATGTCGGATCTCAGGGTCCGTCACCGTGCCTCTGGGCGCGAAGTCGGCGTGTTCTCGGGTCCTCTGCCTAATCCTCCAACCCTCGATCCTCACTCCTGAGGGGTCTCTGGAAGGGCCCTGAGACCAAATTCCAAAATCTATTGGGGGCTTCCCGCGTGTTGTCGCGCGAACTTGTTGGGCACAACGGGGCCCCAAGACGGGCCAAGAGGGCCCCAAGAGGTCCCGAAGACGGTCCAAGTGGGGCCCGAGACACCCAACGACCGCACCAAGGCGCCCAAGGTGGCCCCCAGACGGCCCAAGATGCCTCCAAGACGCCCAAAGAGGCCTCCCAGGAGGGCCCCAAGAGGCACAACTCATTTATGTTACCAAGGTGTTTGAAAAATGTTGGCGTTCTCGCCTTTTCGGCTTTCCGAAGCTCCAAGACCGCCCAAGATGCCCCCAAGACCACCCCAAAGCAGCCCAATGGGCAAGATGGTCCAAAGACGGCCTACGAGCGCCCCAAGACGGCCCAAGAGGGCCCGAAGACGATCCCAGAAGGAGCCCAAGAGAGGGATCACGAACCGAAGCTCCAAGCCTTCCGCCCGAAGAGGCCCCCAGGAGGCCCCAAGAGGCGCCCAAGAGGCCCTTAGGGCCCCCAAAAGGCCCGCAAGAGGTTCCTGAGAGGCCCAAAAGAGGCTCCAAGAGGCCCGAAAACGGCCCCCAAGATGCCTCAAGACTGCCCCCAAGAGGCCCCCGAGAGGCTTCCCACGACATCCTAACGAACATCCAATAGGATTCATACCCAGCCCAGGCACGGTGGCAGGATGGGCCGAATGCCAGTCGATGATAAGTTGTGTCGAGCGTGTCGCGGCGTCGGCCCCTGACACACGCAATGCCTTCAAAGCTGACAGCGTGTCGCTCTGCTTCGTGGGACGGAATGCTGGGAAAAGACCTCGGAACGGGGATGCTTGGGGAATGGGACGTGGCCAGCGTGTCGCGCCGAAGCGTGGTGGGCCAGAACCGGCGGCAAGACACGCTCGCCTCGATTTATCAACTGTAAGAAGGCAGTCGCTGGGTGGCTCAGATAGCCCGAGGGGCTCCTGGGGAGGCAGGCCCCCCGAAGAGGCGAAGGGTTTTTGAGTGGCGCCCTGCCTCCTCAGATGGCCGCGCCCACCGCCTCGCACCCTCTCGCGCAGAGACGAGCACGTCCGCGTCCACGCCCTCGCGGCTCGGCTCCCGAGGCGCGATCCCGCGCATACGTGGTCGCGCGGATGCCTCCCGCGCGGGGCACCCCCGAAGCCGAAACGCCCCGCGTCCCGCGTCCCCGGAGCCGCGGCCCAGGGCCCCCCCCCCCCCCCCCCCAGCCCCCCTCCTCCTCCTCCTCCTCCTCCTCCTCCTCCTCCTCCTCCTCCTCCTCCTCCTCCTCCTCCTCCTCCTCCTCCTCCTCCTCCTCCCCCGGCTCGCGAGGCCGCGGAGACGGGCAGATCTTCCCCAAGAACCCTCTTGCGCGCCGCCACACCGGAGCAGCAGCAGCAGCAGCAGCAATGGGCCCGGCTGGACTGCGACGCAGGGCGCCCGCCTTATCACCGGCGCGCCCTGGTAGTGCTTCAGCAGGATGCTCAGCCTGTTGCCCTCGACGTTGAAACCACGAATCAAGCCCTCGCAGCAGCGGGCCGAGAACGACGATGAGGAGGAGCAGCGGGCAGCTGTCAGGAAGCAGAGAACGCGCATGGATGGATTCACATCTAAACCATCCGGAAGGGACACGCAGGATACACACGCGGAAGCCACACACTGACAGCAGGTGCAGCAGAAACGACCAATGAAACAAACACTTTCTATCACATTGAAACATTAGAATATTGCGCCGCGCGATTTTCGTAAACGTACGGCCGGCTGCGTTACCTCCTTGGTCTGTCTTCGGTGCGTGAGTTCACGTCTGATAACTTGGCACGTGTGGTTTTGCTCGTTGGTTTGAAAGCCTTCCCGGATGAGGATAAGTCATATTTGGGTGACCAAGTCGGTTGACAGTGTGCCTAACGGTTATGTGTTGTATTTCCTCGTCTGCCTACTTCTCCTTTCTTCCCTACTCCATCGGTGTCGGAACCGCGATACCACCGAACTCGCCCAAAGCGTCGGAACGTGGAAGTTGCCTCGCGCGCCTGCGGCATCGGACGCAGGATGCCGCCTCTCACGCCTTCTAACCGCAAAAATGATTCAAGAGGGCCCCAAAAGATCCGAAACATGCCACAAGACGGGCTCAAAGACAGCCCTGTGGGCCCCTGAACTGCCCAGGACGGCCCACAACAAATCTGCAGCTGGCCCACGGCCCACGAGGGCCACCGGATGCATCCACCACCACGCGAGAGGGCCTCTCGACGGCTCACGGCGGCCCCACGACGGGCGCAAGAGACCTCGCAGACGGCCGCTAGGACCCCATGACGGCCAGCGACGGTGGCTCCCAGACGGCCCAGAGTAGCCCAAGGGACCGCCAAGACTGCCCTGAAGGAGCCCGCGGGAGGACCACCCTCCCCGACAAGACCCGACATTCCACGGCTCTCCCAAGCCTCAAGACACGAGTGTCACACGTTGTGGTCTCCTGTGCGCCACCCAAGCAGTGGCACTCAAGGTAATGGGCTGGCAAGGTGGTGGGATGTTCCACAGGCAGCTGGATGAACGACCGAATACGGACCAAACAATTCGCCGTTCCAGACCCCACCGCGAGCCCAAACGGCGAGCGTAGATCGAGCGTAGCCTCGAAGAAACAGGGATGGTCAACTACTTCGAGTCCCATCCGCTTGCTCCTCATCGGATTCGGTATCATCATCGCCGTCGTCGTCGTCGTCTTCGCCGGTTGTGCCATTGTTTGCACCATCAGATGCGCCATGTAATACACTACAGGCTGCACCAGATGTGCACCATGCATTGCACCGTAGCACCATAGTTGACCCCATAGGTTGCATCGTAGATCGCGAGTTTGGTTGCAATCAGTTGCAACATGGGTTGCGTCAAGGGTGCAGCCGAGCTTGCGACGCATGTTGCGGAGTTGGCGACGGCACAAACTGCACCACAGGCTGCATCCACCATGGGTGCACCATGGGTTACGCTATCCGTTGCGCGATGTGCTGCGCCGCAGGTTCCGGCACTGGTTGGTCCGCGACTGGCTGACAAACCATACGCCAAGCGGTGCGTGGGCATGAAACCTGGCTTAAAGAAGGGCCTGGGCCTTGGCTACACACTGGGCCACTGCAATCGGCTCCCAGTGAGAAGCTGCACTTGTGCGCTGGGAGCCAAAGGCAACACAAGCGGGAACGGCGCGCAAGTGGGTCACCCTGGCACGACCAAGAGGAGGAGGAGGAGGAGGAGGAGGAGGAGGAGGAGGAGGAGGAGGAGGAGGAGGAGGAGGAGAGGAGGGAGAAGGAGGAGGAGGAGGAGAAGGAGCAGGAGAAGGATGGTCTGCGAGGGGCGCCATTTGTTGCCCCCCGAAGGCTGCGCGCGTGGCCGACGAAACATGCAGCGGCCAGCTAGGAGGAGGGGGAATGAGGCAGGGAGGAGCGGGCAGGGGAGCAGGAGGGCGAGGGGGGGCGAGCAAGGATGAGCAGGAGAGAGGGGAGATGGGAGGAGGAGCAGGCAGATGACGAGGCGGCGGAGGTGGGTGGTGGGAGGAGGGGGGAGGAGGGGGAGGAAAGAGCAAGGAGGGCGGAGGGTAAGGGATGAGCAGGCGACAGGGGAGAGAGGAGGAGTTGGCGGAGGCGCAGGAAGAGCAGGACGGGGCGCAAGGGAGGGGCTGCCCAGTGGCCTCCAGAAGTACAGGAGGCCCCTGGAGGGCCCAAGACGAGCAAAACACGCAAAACGAACAACGAAGAGGAGGGATAGGTCCTCTGCTCCTCCTCCTCCTCCTCCTCCTCCTCCTCCTCCTCCTGCGCCTCTTCCTCCTACGCATCCGTCTCCTCCTCCTCTTCCTCCCTTCTCCCCTTCCTCCCTCCTCCCTCCTCCCTCCTCCTCCTCCTCCTCCTCCTCCTCCTCCTCCTCCTTCTCCTCCTGCTCTCCGCGAGGAACAGGAGGAGGGCGAGGACGAGGAGGACGCGGCGCAAGCGGGGGCGAACGACGATCGACTCCACCGCCACCGCGAGCGAGGCGGTGCCGAAAGGCCCCCGAGGGCCATCAGGGGCCTCCGAGAGCCGTCGGGAGGCGTGCGAGGTCCGTGCGAGGTCCCCGGAGGTTCCACGGAAACCTCCCTTGAGCAGGGACCGACCGTCCTGGCATGCCTACAGGCCTTCCGCGAGATGATCTCAGAACCCAGAAATGTTCCAATAACAAAAATCAGGGATGGACAGACCTCCCTTTAGTAAAACGTGGTTTAGTGAAAACGACCTCGGGCCCAAACCTGGCGGGCGCAAGACTGGAAAATAACGGCCGCAGCGCCCTCTCGAGAACCGAAAACGGACAATTCACAAATCGACGTGTCACTGTTGGGAGGTCTGTCCACCCCCGACAGAAATGTTCCAAGAACCAAAAGAAGGCTCTCGAAAGGATAAGGCCGATGCGCTGAAGCAAAAGACAGCTTCAGCCGGAAGTGTTCTAAGAACGTCTCGTGCAGGCCAAGGAAGGTGCTTGGAACAGTCTTTGGTGAGCTTACAGAGGCAAGCCGGGGACGCGTCGCCACTGCTCGACTCCTCCGGCGGCACCCCCGGCGGCAACAGCGACGGAGACGACGTCGCCGGGCCTCTCAAGATGCTAAGAGGAGGAGGAGGAGTAGGAGGAGGAGGAGGAGGAGGAGGAGGAGGAGGAGGAGGTAGGAGAGGAGAAGGAGGAGGAGGAGAGAAAAAGGAGGAAGGGGAGGACGAGAGGAGAGCAGAGAAGGAGGAGGAGAAAGAAGGAGGAGGAGAGAGGATAGAGAGGAGAAGGAGGATCTAAGGAGGAGAGAGGATAGGAGGCAGAGAGGAGGAGGAGGAGGGAGGAGGAGGAGGAGGAGGAGGGCGACGACGACGGCGACGAACGACGACGACGACGACGACGGGCGACGACGCGACGACAGCGACGACGACGGCCCTCCGCCGCCCGGGCCTCCTTCTGCAGCAGCTGCAGGATCTGGACGCACAGCGGGTGGTACGGCGTCCTGCGCGGCCGAGGGGCCGCGGCCACAGGGCGCGGGACGCCGTCGCCGCCACCGCCGGCGTCGTCGTCGTCGTCCTCGTCGTCGTCGTCGTGGTCGTCCTCGTCGTCGTTGTGGTCGCCCTCTTCCTCCTCCTCCTCCTCCTCCTCCTCCTCCGCCTCCTCCGCCTCCTCCTCCTCCTCCTCCTTCTGGAAGGTCCTCCTTCTCCTTCTCCGTCCTCCCCCCTCCTCATTCTCGTAGCATCGCTGAGAGCCACCCTTCGGGCGAAAACGGGCAGTCGCCGATTCAGTCTCTGGACCTCCAAACCTGGGACCTCCTGCTCCTGATCCTCCGGGACCTCCTGCTCCTGCTCCTCCTCCGCCTCCTCCTGTTCCTCCTCCACTCTTCCTCTTCCTCCTCCTCCACTCTTCCTCTTCCTCCTCCTCCTCCATTCGTCCTCCTCTCTCCCCCCTTCCACCTCCTGGTATGGTAGATCCCGCCGCATGATTCATCGAAGCTGGTGCTCAGAAGGGCGGTGGCGCTGTTATTGGCATGATCTATCGTATGTCATGTGCTAGCACTCCTTCTACTTTTCGTCCTCCTCTCTCCTGCCTCCTTCTCCTGACCCTCATGCGTCATCCCTCTCCTCCGCCCTCTCCCCCCCTCCTCCTCATGTGTCTCCCTCCGCCCTTTGACCTCCCTTGTCTTCCCTTCTCTTCCCATTCCCCCTATTCCTCCTCCTCCCCCTCCTCCTCCTCTCCCTCCTCCTCCCTTCCTCCTCCTCCTCCTCCTCCTCCTCCTCCTCCTCCTCCTCCTCCTCCTCCTCCTCCTCCTCCTCCTCCTCCTCCTCCTCCTCCTCCTCCTCCTCCCCCTCTTTCTTATCCCCCGCCTTCTGTTACTGATCGCCCCTGTCCTCATTCGGGAAGGCGGGGCTCGGAGCGGGAAAGCAGGGGGAGGACACGGAGGGGAACCCGCTGGTCTGGACATCGCACGCTCCGAGTGACGCCGTCCCTCTGGCGAGGAGCCTCGGCGCGCTCCGCGGAGGCCGCGGCTCCTTGGACCTTCCGCCGAGGAACGTCGGGCACGGCGGGCTTCGTGTCGCGACCGCCTGCGCGCTGGCCTCCGACGCCGTGGGCATCGTCCAGCCCTGGAACGATCGCGGATTTCCGAGTGGAAGCCGAGACTCCTTGGACCTTCCGCCGAGGAACGTCGGGCACGGCGGGCTTGGTGTCGCGGCGGCCTGCGCGCTGGCCTCCGACGCCGTGGGGATCGTTCAGCACTGAACGGTCGCGACTTTCGCCCAGGTCGCTAGTTGTCGGCCTCTTCTGAGAAACAGTCGGCCCGTATCACGAGGATGCGCGATAAGAATGCAAGGGCTTTGGACGCTCATTTCGACGCTTTTCGAGCAGGGCGTGGCCAACGAAAGTGGCCAAGGATGGACCGCGGAGGCAAGGATGCAAGGGTGCAGTGCGGGCGCGGCCGCAAGAAACCCTCGCAAGAAACCCAACCATGAGAACCCGCACACGAGGTGAACCTGAGGGAGAAACCCGGAGCACCCTGAACGCAGCAGCTCCTTCAACGGCTGCGGGAAGTCACCGCGCAGCGCGAGGAGCGAAGACACCCAGGATACCCTGACGAAAACGAAAAGCATATGGTTTCTTGATGCGCGCCCCCACTGTACCCTTTGGCCTTGCCATGCCGGCTGACTGTGCTGGCAGGGCTCGACCGCGCGGGGATTACCGCCGTGCCAGCGCGGCGCGAAGCCTGTCGTAGGCGGGCTGGGGGCCACCACGCGAACCGTCACCGAGCACGGCGCCAGCATCTGCGCCAGCATCACGAGCGACATGGATAGATGAGCGGGCTCCACTACTCGCAAGGTGACTACTCGCGAATGGCCTGGATCCGCTGGAGGGGATCTACAAGACATTGCATCGAAGCAGACAGGTGTTTCTTTCTGACGTTTGCGAGTAGGCGCTCTGCGAGTAAAGGAACGCGCTCGGTGAATGAAGTGCGATCGGAAGGGCAGCCGCCAATGAGGAGGACACAAGTCCAGGACTGACTGTGTCCAAGGGGCTTTCGCGAGAGAACTCAGGTGGAGAGAACTCAGCTTGGATACAGGGGGGGTGGGGCTAGAGAAGGTGGGCTTAGTGAATCGGCTCGCGGAGCTGGTCCCCCCCGGCGCCTCAAGGCACCGCGTGCGCCAGTGTATCGAGGCCATGGCCCGTCGGCGGGGGGCTGGAACAAGGTGTGTGCAACAGACTTCGTTTGCCACCCCTTCTCTATCCCTCCCTTCGGCCGCCCCGACAGAAGAGGATCGTGTGCGCGCGGGGCAGGCGGGCGAGGAGGAGGAAGAGGATGAGGAAGAAGGACAGGAGGAGGAGGAGGAGGAGGAGGAGGAGGAGTCAGGACCAGGGAAGAAGACCCGGCACAGCAAACACATCCCCGCTTCGGCAGCGGGCCTCCTGTCCCACAACCTGGAGATCCGACGTTGCAAAAAAATGCAACATCGCAAACAATCACGCCACGAACCCCAGACCGCATCCTTCTGCGTCATTTTTCGAGCGGGATCGATATGTGAGGGTCCTGGGGCCCGAAATCGAGCGAAAACCCGCAGTGTGAAAAAGTTGCAACGCCAGGATCTCAGGGAACTCCCGCCCTCGTCGCCCGCTGAAGATGTTTTGTCTTTCGCTTCGGGGGACATCCGAGCGGCGGACGCCTCCTCGGTCGGCAACTGACCCGCTGGCTCGGCCAGTGGCTCTGCCGGTGTCTACCGACCTGGCTCTGCCGCACCCGGCCCCAGATTTAGGTCGGGCATGTCCCCTACAGGCGGGTTTTGGGCGAAACGCCACACAACAGCACTAAGGAACAAATGAGACCAGAGAAAAAACCCAATCAGGGCTATAGGGCTAGCGGGCTATAGGGCTATTGAGCTATAGGGCTATAGAGCTATAGGGCTATAGAGTTGTAGGGCTATAGGGCTATTGGGCTATAGGGCTTAGGGCTATCGGGCTATAGGGCTATAGGGCACCCCAGGGCACCCGGGCGTGCAGCGAAAATCGGCGACAAACCTAACCAAACCATATGAATCCGCTAGGACCCCTACAGAGGCAAGCTCTGACTGGGGAAAATCGTCCCCAGATATTTTGGAATATTCCTCCTGTAGAGGGACAGGCCCGACTCAATCCTAGCTCCTGTCTGAGCCTGGCGTCGCCGGCGTGGGTTCGGCTACACGCAAGAGGGTGACCCTGGGTAAAGAGAGACCTCTGGTGCGCGACGCTTGGGGGGCCGCGGGGGGACCAAACACAAGCACGCAAGACGCTACTATCGCATCGCACTCGGCGATCGGGGGACCCAATTGGGCCCGCACCGAAGGTCACTCCGGCGAAAGGTCACTCTTACGTCTAGTCGGTGGGTGTCCTAAGCGAGAGCACGCCTTCGCAGTGCCGTCCTACTCGTGCGGCACGCGCACGCGGCGCGCACCCGAGCTCATGGGGCGAGGCCTCGGAAGCCCGGGCATGGCCCTCTCGCTCCCGCGGGCGCTCATGGGGGGCAGCATGCCGCCGGCGCCGCCCAGGACCTGCCGGTGCGTGTCCTGCACCCAGGGCTGGACCTAAACTTTGTGCTTCGTTTTGGTTTCGTTATGTTGTTCGTTTTGCTCGACCTGTTTTCCTGTGCCTCCCTGTCAAACGAAAAACAAAGCAAAGCCGAAGTCCAGCAAAACAGCGTTCAGGTCCAGCCCTGTCCTGCACCCCGCAACCCAGGCCCTGGATGTACTCGTGCGCCAGGTCGAGCAGCGCGCCCTGCTCGGCCACGGCCTCCTCCGGGGAGGCAAAAGGAGACGGCAGGTCCGCGTGGTGACGACCCTGGCGCTGGTTTCTGACACCGCGTGGATCGTTCAACCGTGAACGATCGACGGCTCTTCGATCGCCAGATCGGTCCACAGTAGCCAAATCTAGAGGGCCTCCTAGATGCGGTCCGAGTAAATCGGGTCGAAAGATCGCGCCGCATCGCCAATATCGGTCGTTGGCAGAACTGGGTTTAGTGGAACCTGGTTTAATGATTTGTGCCGGGGGCACCCCCCCGTCCCATTTCCACTAACCGGAACTGCCGTCACCCGAAAAACACAAGTTACGGCAAACCTGGTTTAGTGAATCTGGCCTGTTGAAGGGCCTCAGAGCCCTACCACTAACCGGGTCCCCTTACCCGGGGTCCTGGCTATTCCCGACAATACATCGCCGATGTATCGGCGATGCATCGGCGACGCCTAATTCGTCGTCGTCCTCGTCGCTGCACGACGGCGCTGGCGCCGGAGCCAGCGCCAACGGGGGGTGGCCCCCTCCCCGGTTCGACTAACCCCCCCCTGCAAGTCAGGGGGGGGTGGGCCCCTGACTTGCGGCGACGGGGCCGGCGCCGGCGCCGTCGCCGTCGCCGTCGCCGTCGCCGTCGCCGTCGCCGCCGCCGTCGCCGTTGCCGTTGCCGCCGCCGCCGCCGCCGCCGCCGCCGCCGTCGTCGTCGCCGCCGTCGCCGCCGTCGTCGTCGTCGTCGTCGTCGTCGTCGTCGTCGTCGTCGTCGTCGTCGTCGTCGTCGTCGTCGTCGTCGTCGTCGTCGTCGTCGTCGTCGTCGTCGTCGTCGTCGTCGTCGTCGTCGTCGTCGTCGTCGTCGTCGTCGTCGACTTCGTCGTCGTCGTCGTCGTCGTCGTCGTCATCGTCATTGTCGTCGCTGCCCGACGGCGCCAGCGCCGGCGCCGTCGTCGTCGTTGTCGTCGTCGTCGTCGCCCGACGGCGACGGCGCAGGCGCTCGCCGCCGTCGGTTGCAAGGGGGGGCCACCTCGTCGTCGCTCCCCAAGCGCGGGGCGCGGGCGCCGGCGCTCGCCGTCGTCGGTTGCAACGGGGGGGGGGGCCCCTTGCAGTTAGAACCCCCCCTCCCTTGCAACTCAGGGGGGGAGCCCCCCCCCCCTGGGTCGACCCCCCCCCCTTGCAGCAACTCGAGGGGGGCTGGGGGGCCCGGTTCCAACCCTTCCCCGC